ATATGCATATATGTACTAACAGTGCACATGCACTTAAAGAAAGACAAGATGATAGGGACTGGTAATATTTTTGTTAAATAAACCTCTCCACTATTACAACATGTAGGTGTAAGCATTTTCATAGGAAGAGATAATATAGTTTGCCCAGTATATAATTCGGGGGGGGGTTGTGTGGGGTTTTTTTTTAACATTTGAGTAGTGTTGAGTGAAGTCCAGTTGCACTATGTCGTGTGTCCTCTTCACTACTTCATGTTCATAAATAGGTATTTTGTTACCAGCTGATGAGGTTGATCTGGGTTTCCACGTGGTTCTTCATTTGTCCTCCTTGCATACCACATGTGTCCAAGTACCCCCTTTTTACCTCTGTGCGGCAGAAAAGGGAGATTATTCTGGCACTGGCTGCATCTAATGCAGTTCCCCGATATTCTTATCCGTAGGGGTTTGCCTTGGGTATTCTAGGTGTCTGTTTTCAAAGTTTAAAGAGCTGCATTATTTTACCTTGAGAGTAGCATTTCTGTGTCTACTAGGGAATCAGACCCTTGTGAATATGTCTGAAATGAGAACTATAGCACTGTGAGGGTTAATCAGATGTGATAGATACATTTGCAGTGATTCAAAGAAGAGGCATCATGTGATCTCCTTTTTACTTGGTCAGCCTTTCTCAAAGCTACTTGTACTTCTAGCAGGAAGGTGAACTTGGTGTAACTTTGTAAGAAAGATTTCATAAAGCTATAGTTTTGGGGTTTTTTGTCCTTTAGGAGTCAGAAAATATGCGCCATGACAAAACTGCTTTGGTAAAGGGGGAAATATTTCCAAACAGCATAATGATAATGAAAGTGGCATACGACACATTATGCCTGTGTTATTTTGTATCATCAAGCCAGAAAAGTAGACATTTAGACCAGTTTCAGTGTGTTTTCATACAACATAACGCTTAAACAAGCGTAATGCTCAAGCCTTGTAGACAATGCCAAATGTAAAGCACTTTGAGGAGCGAAGGGGCTAAATATGCCTCAGAAAGTCTTAGTGAGAGTTTGTTGGTGTAACATATATGTTGAACGAGCTGGAAGAGCATGTAATGTGCATCAACTTAGACTTCATTTAATCTCATTTGGACTCTCCATTGAATTTTGTCTTGTCTCAATAAAGTACTGTCTTTGCTATGAAAGAATCAAAACAAGTCCATGAATGAAAGAAACCCTGATCCTACTGAAATCAGACAAAACTCTCATTGAGAGCCAGGATTTCATCTCACATGCCTAGAATTTTTCAGAGGCATTCAAGAATATTGCAAAGCCCCTGTAAGATTTCCACGTAAAAAGAGCTCCAAAGTAATGTGTATTTCTCTGCTCACAGACCTTCCCATAAGGAATCTACCCACCTTCATAGTGAATTTGGGCCTTGGTTTTCACAGGTTCCTGCTTTCCTTCCCTGAGGCAGGTCTCTGAAATCAAATGCTGTCTGTGTGTGATAACTATTTCCAGGGTTTTGTGGCTTCAGCTGAAAGCTCTGCTCTGGAAAACAGCCGTGCTTTGGCTGTTTCATGACTTTCAGTTTTGTGCGGGAAATAAGGGCTACACATCTGGACAAGATGATGAATGATAGTTTGACAAAACCTGAATAGGACGTAGGGTTTCAGGTGCCGTTGAGCTCTTTTTCCTATGTCTATTCAGAAGTAGAGCAACTAAATTGCAAGTTGACAGAAGGCTCAGTGTTGCTTGCAAGTTGACAGAAGGCTCAGTGTTGGTTGCATATGGGTTTTTTGGCCTGATTCTGCGAACTTAGCTTGTGAATCACACAGTGAGCCCAGTGGTGAACACTTCAGAAGGCAGCAGGAACCTAGATTACACTGCTGTGTATAGGCAAGCAATTATATTCCTGACTGCTAGGGGAACCTGCTTAACAAATCAAGCTATAGAAAATGGGAACTACCTGATGGAGCAAACAGAATGAAAGAAAAAAAGCCTCTGAATTTCACTTCTGAGGCTGCTGTGCTCAAGTGATTGATTTTTATATTAACTCTGTTATCTCTTAACATCCCCCACCCACCTACACACACATATGTGCAGCTTCATGCCAGGGGTGCGGGAACTAGTTTTTCCTACAGTGTTGGCAAACTGGAATGCTCTTGTTGCTTTGTGGAGTTAACACTAGTTATGGCATATCTGAGATAGTAAGAGAGACTTTCCTGTGCAGGCACAGCAAGGAACCCAAATTCAGAGCATGCACAGCCCCTACTTTTATGTAAAGCTGCAAGCAGGCCGGCCATGAGGCCCTGGGAGGCAGGTACAGGCAGGCTAGCAGCTCGGCTTTCCTGTGTGCATATGCACATTTCACAGATGTTGGCACTGCTTTCATAAATTGTGGGTGATTTTACAGCAGCGTCTGAAGCACTTAAGCCTCGTTATTAGAGTGGGCTCCTCAGGGATGATCTAATGAGAATCTAAGTGGATGTACCATTCCCTCCTGCAGTGGTTGGAGGTAATGAGACTGCCATCCTAGAAAGTGTAATGGAGAGTCATTTGTCAGTCCTAGTAGGAGTCATTAGGAGGAGAGAGCCTGCACAGGAACCCCAGGAAATACAAGCCAACAGACATCTGTAAAGCAACACGTGCAGGATGATACCACGCTAATTGTCTACCTTGTACTGTATGCATTATACAACATTACCAGTTATCTATAAACAAATTATCCGTGTACCAGATACAAGATTAGCTAGCGTACATTTATGAATGTGAGCATACTTAGTCGTGTCTAGTTGAGATAAAGAGGTGGGTATAAGAAGAGTTTCTTCCCTGTATTTGTAGTGTTGGTGATAGAGGCATTGTAAATTGAACGTGCCCACATTTTGACTACCAATTCCCAACAGGTGAAATGTACTTGTGACTCCTCTGTTATGACAGTCCACAGGTCAATAAATCCCTTTTGATTCTTCTCTTTCATTGAATATGCTAATTGCCAATGGAAGCAGAAAGGCAGAATGACATGTCTCTATAAAGGTTATAAATTTTAGAATTAATTATCTCTTGAGGCCATCTCAATGCTGATGTGTTTTCCCTATAAAACAATGATTTTGCTGAAAAGTAACTCATCATTTCTCAATAGAAACAAAAGACATGAGTAAAATCAGCTTAACCAAGTTAGGTGTTTCACCATCACAGTATTTCAAAGGCTGGACAAATAGAACACAATATTGGAATTGCCAAGTAAAGGACCATATATTGAGATATGACAATATTATTTTAAATAATCGTTCATACTACTTTTCAGAGTTAGTAAACCTAGCACTTACTGTTACCTGGCCAAAAGCTCAGCATCGTTGTACCCAAAATAGAAAACCACCACCAACTCATGTGGTTGAAGAAACATCATGTTTGGGGGATATCACGTACGTTAAGTCATTCAGGGCTGAAATATCCAAGTGGTAAATACAGAATTTTGCACATGCATTCTTCTGGAAAAATCTTGTACAGCCAAGCCCCCTGAACTGTGCATGTAATTTTCAAAACATTTATGTGCAGATGGATTAACTTGTATACTGGGAGAGGCCTCTGTGGTACATCTCTCTCAGCAAGGTTCGTAAAGAGCATTTTTTTTTTCTCCCTTCTGGTGCCTTTTAGATTGTTCAAGTAAAAGAGGAACTTTTGTGTAAAGAAAACTTCCTTTCCCTCCCATTCCCCCCAAATATATAAATAAGAAGTGTGCGGAGTCTAAGGTTTTGGGTCCTCTAACGGGACATAGGAAACCTGTAGCTGAAATGAGGCCTGCAGTTTCTTTTTTCTTGTGTTTTATAGCCCTTCTGTACTTATCCCTCCCCCCCTTTTTTTTTCTTGCATTGTTAATCAGCTTTTCTAGGTTTTTTTTTTAAGCCCTTGTGCATACCTGAGAAATAGAAGGGGTTTGATGCTCCCCTACTTTTCACTGTTGTGGTCACTCACACCCATGTAAAATAAGCACCCATGTGGGCAGTTTTTGCTTGCGCGAGTTTGCACTAGTGTGAAGAATGGCACAAAGTAAAAGGCAGCAACATTATTTTATGGTACGCACACAGTCATATGTTTGGATATCTGGCTGTTAGGTCTTGATGCTTGGGGATCAACCAGCCTGGTTCTGCAACAACCCTCTTGCCCTGACAGACACGTGAACTTTTAGGGCCGTTGGATTGCTGCGGTGGATTGTTAGGAGGCAAAGAAATAGTCCTGGTAAGAGTAATCCTACAAATGGAACAAACTGTGCGCAAAATGGAATTTAAGTTTTCAGACATTAGATTCAGATTTGCTAAATCAGCAGTGGTGAAGTATTGTCACCAGAGCCAAATTTGGTGTTGACAGAGACTTGGGGTGGAACCAATGATATGGGTGCAGCCACCAGATGGGCTGCATTGCTTTACAAATTATTTTGCTATATCAAAAATTTCCTACCAGAGAGTTAAACCAATGAAAGAGTGTGTATAGAACAGTTACGCCTTTTGATATGGGCCAGTGACCTAACAGCTATTTTCCATCTCTAGCTTCTGTATGCTTTTGGTTTAGGGAACTGTAGTAACTGCCAGCATCTGCTTCTATCTGCTTGGGTGTGGGTTTCATTTTGGGTTTGCATATCAACTACTATGCTCTGTGCTTGTGACTTTTAACTCCAAATATCAGTCTCCGTACTAAATCATTGCCAAGTAACCTTCCATTCTTCTTTTCCACGCTGCCCATCTAGTCACCAGCTGCGAGCACACAGCTCCTGCCCGCATGTCGTCAGAATGAGTCTGAGCTGCTCAAACCTCAACTCCAGCCTGAACATGAATTTTTGTCTCTGCAGGAATATCAGGAGAAAAAAAAAAAGTCATCAGGGCTACCAGTTCTCGTTATTGTTTGTATTTATATTTTTGGATCAACTTCTTTTCTCCCTGGAGGTTTTGATTCCACCGATTTTGTTTGGGTTTGATTGGGCTTGCTTTTTTTTACTGCTCTCCCTCTTCTCATTTTGTTTTCTCCATTCTTTCATTGGAGGCAATGAGCCGTCCAGCGGTCGGAACTCCCCTGTCCCCTATCGGCCCGACAGCCGCCCTCTCACTCCAACTTACGCTCAGGCCCCTAAACATTTCCATGTTCCAGGTAGGAGCTGGCACTGTATGTGTCTTGGTGTCCTGTCACAGTGTAGAATGTAGCCTTTGTAACTTTTGTCTTGTCTCCATTGTTTCACGCTGTTTACCATGAGGTGCACCCACAGGGTTTGGAACTGCTCCAGGTCTTGCTGAGAGGGCTAGTGCATTAAGAAATGGAGGAGGAGTTTCACTGTGATTTTTACCTATTCTGTTGGTCAGGTGTTTCACTGTTAGAATGCCTTGGTTTTCAGGGTCGGCTGATGGCCATGAGCTCGATATGAGCTACGTAGGGCTTGATTTTTCTTGCAGTTGCACCAGCTGAGCACCAGCATAACTCTGCTAACTTTGGAGGAGTTGGTTTTGATTCATAGTGGCATGCAGAAAAGAGTTGACCAGTGAGCCATTATGTATGTTGTTCATTCAGATTGTTGTGACTTGTTTCAGTCCTGAACCAAGCAGTTCTAGTTTAGTGTTCCCTTTTTTTTAAAGCAGATGAGGATGTTTCTTTATTTGTTTTGAGCAATGGCTTGGTGTCTTCAGAGACACCTGCAGATCCACAAGGATATGTATGCTTCAGGATGTCCTCTCTATAAAGGGCAGTCTTTGTTATAAAGTGAGCTGCACAGTTCTTCCAGCCTTGGAGAAGCTCATCTGTCTTGGATTTTGATGAGATGGAGGTGGTGTGCCCCTAGCATTGTTGACATGCATCTTCTGACTGCATCAGTGCTAGCTGAAAGCCTTCTTATGTCCAGTTATTCTTCAGGTCCCCTTCAGTCTAGTATCCCCTCGCACTGCCAGAGGTTACTGCTCTTCCTCCTTTCCTCAGATCTGGTAGGTAAACTGTTTGTGGGAACTTCTTTTTCAGTCAGTGTGACCTGGCTTGGCTAAGGTAGGCTGTTTTAACTGCTTAAGCTAACCTGGTGCACTTTGACTTGCGTAAGCTAAAGGACACTTACATGAATAGCTCTGAGTAATAATTTCTAGCGTGGTGGGAGAGCTGTCCTCTTCAGCTGGTGCAGTGCAGCCACAGAAGGAGCTGTGTTCCTATCCTCCGTATAGCTTTCTGGTATAGATGTGCACAAAAGTACCACATGACTACCCTTGTAATTTTTATACCTATTTGCTGGTCAAGTAGCCATTACAGATCACTAACAAGAATGAAATACCTCAGTGTCTTTGTGTGCAATGAATTTGCCTGTTTAGTCAAGGATGTAGGGTTCTGCAGAGTAAGATTTGCCTCTGTTTCAATAGATTTTTAGGGTTAGCTTTCCTCAATGCCAAAGGCTAAGTTGTCTCCTGTAGCACTTTAATTGGATCTGTGATACACAGCATATATTTCTAAAATGCTTTTTCATCTTTCATTCTAATGTAACTGAAAACTTTTTTCAGGCAGTATGAAGTAGCAAAATGGGTTTCTGACATTAATTTTCTAGTTCCCAGTAACTCATTTTGGTCTTCTAATAAGATTTTGACAGATTTTACACTGTAACACTGATTTTGGATTAACTTTTGTATTTGTAGCTGTGCCGAATACATGAAGTGTTGGCTTGGGTGGGAAGGTAGTTTAGGACAGACTGGTTCCTGTCTTAGATTATTATTTGTAAAAAAATGATATCTTTTAGATGTGCTGTAGATTTACTGCATTAGAGTTCTGGGAAGTGTTTTTATTCTGATTTACATTGATAATGTGCAATGTGGTGGGCCTTACATAAAAAAAACTACAAAAAAGAAATAAAATCTATCCTTGTGGTTGGAGAAGTAGTAGTATATCAGTTAACACTGCATAAAGCATCCCTTTGACTCACTGAAGTGTAGCTGTTGTTGACTGTTCAAAACAGTGTATTAGGCAGCTATTTTGTTCTCTGGAATTTGAAGTGAATTGTAGGCTTGCTGCATTCTCCTCTGCTCAATCCAGCTAGTCAGCTGGAAAGAAAATCGAGCTGTTATGACTGAAGCACATTTTTCCACAAAAGTTATTTGGGGTAGTTTTCCCCAAATGGCTTGTATCTTCACCATTGAAATGTCTTGCTTGTTTGCATTTCTTCTGTAAATTTTATCCCGCTGATAATTTTCTGAATGTTTAAAATGAATGGTTCATGACTTGGATGCATCCACATGGTACAGAATCAGCTCCAAAGGACTTCATACCACATGTCTTTGACTTTTCAGTTGTTCTTATGTTTTCTTTTCTTTAAATAATCTGATTTTGTATAATACTAGAAATAGCTTTCTGGCTTTTTCTTGTGCTACATCCTTGATTTCGTCTGTCTTGTTTTAGTGTTGGAGTTATCTTTATCTACAACTGAAGTAGTTTTCATATTCCCATTTTTCTGTTTCTCAATTTCACAGATCAAGGTGTCAACATTTACAGAAAACCACCAATCTACAAACAACATGGTAAATGATCTTTCCCTCTTTATTTCAAAACTGGAGTGTCAGCTAAATTAAAAGGCATGCAGACTAGTGAAAAGCATTCAGTGTTTACTTTGTAAGCATTAAAAATTAGTAGTCGAAGCTTGAAACAGCTGTTATTGCATGTCCTGCTGAGTGATTATGTTTTAAAGCATGTTGTTTCATTTGGATCATATGGTTTAAATCTTGGCCATGTTGATATTAATGGCAAAATTGCCATTAACTGGGATTTTGCTGTCTCTTTAGCATTATGATTTCTTCCTGTATTTCACTTCTTTAAGTTTATATTTTCAGAATACAGGTACCGATCATGTTAGAATGGATTAACAACAGACTGTTCTCTGACAGGGACTTCATGGAATATCCTTATTTTAAACAGACAAAGTACAATAATTTATTTCAACAGCAAAGATGGAGATGTTATTATCAGACAGGAATTCCAAATGTACCTGTGGCTTTAAATAAGAATCTTTAGTTATTGAAGATAATATAGGTGACATCACTGACAGGGCTAATTTGGTTCTCAAGCCCTGTGATATAGCTCAGGTGGTACGCTGTACTTGTTTTTCTAGGTGTTTGGATTCTGAGTCGGACAGCAGTGTTAGTGCTCTAATCTTTTTGGTGTAGACATTGTTATAGCAAGTCTGAAATAACAATGATGGCAGAAGCCCACTGTATTGCCAGTCTTTAGTACTGCAGAGCAAGGTCCCAGTTATAACAGAGTGTGTTCACTCTTCCCTTCTGCTGTGAATAGAAAACTTTTAATAGGAGATGATTTTTATGTAATGTGGTGAAAGACGGATGGCTCCACTTTTTAAAGACTTTGAGTTTGCATCCCTTTGCAGACCTTTTATCCAATGAAATGTATTTAGGGTTAAGTAGCAAATTAGCAGTAATCTACAGGGTTTAGAAGAACCGCAGGCTGAGAGCTATTGAGCTGAGAGGATTAGGAAAGCCGGGGAAGTCCATTCTGTAGTCAGGAGTGAGCATTGCAAATAGCACTGCTGTGGTTTTACATCAGGGTTTTTTCCTCTTTCTTTTTTAAGTTTCAAACCATATGCTCATTTTGGAAAAAGTCTTAACATTATTTTTGTTTATTTCTATGGTTTTAATGTATCTCCTCACCTCCCATTAAATGTGAATGTTTAACCACTGACATCACCAATTCTAATACGTAAGTACTGTTTGAAGTCATGCTTCTGTAAACTCTGACCAGCTTCCTCCATACCTGCAATTATGCTTAGAGCTTCCCAATCATAAAATGTGCAGAATTCCCAATGACGTCTAATGCTGATGTTCCTAAACTACCCTGAACATGTTGGATGAGCAATACAATGCCTCACTTTGTTAACAGATGTCTTTCTGTTTAAAAAAAAGAGAAAATGAAAAAGTAGTCCAGAATTCTTGCTTCTGATACGATAGCTTCATATGAGAGAAGGTGATTTGAGCTAACAATTTGCAGATAAGAGGTAGTTAAAGCTGGTTTTAATATAAACTGAATCCTATTGGATTTTTTTTTTAATGTCAAGAAGTGAAAGCCATAATGACATCCTCACATGCTTTTAAGAGAAGCGCTTCATATGAGAGAAGGTGATTTGAGCTAACAATTTGCAGATAAGAGGTAGTTAAAGCTTTTTAATATAAACTGAATCCTATTGGATTTTTTTTTTAATGTCAAGAAGTGAAAGCAATAAGACTTCTTAAACATGCTTTTAAGAGACTTTAGCTTAGACTGGAATCTTAAGTGGATGCCCCACTGCTGAGATATTTTATTGGTGAGGTTCATTTCATTGCAAGTGCCTTTCCCTGCCAAGTTGATCTGAATGAAGTTTAGTATTTATTAATAAATTCACATCTGCTTTTACTACTACTGCATGCTAATAAGCAAGGGCATGCAGCAGAAAAAGTCCACTGGTTAAATAAACATTTGTTTCAGATTTCTTTTTTTGTTTGTTTTGCAGCTTTTCACAGAAACATAGGAAATAATTAACATCAGGAGGGTTAAAATTAGTGCTGTTCTTCTGAACTATTTGTTTTCTTGCCCTAGAGGGAAGATAGATCAGTACATAAATCTGATTTCATCTTCATTAATAATCAGCTGTCCTTAGGAGATATTGGCAAATACTGTTAGATTGAATTTTCTTACTCTTGCCCAATCATTCTAACGCTCTGCAACCCTACTAAAATCCAAAGCTGATTTGGGGTTATTTTGGGGGTGGGGATGAGGGAGGAGAGGAAGGTTTGATTCCAGTCTATTGGCAAGAGAAAGACATTACTTTGCTTCAAACTGCAATTAGAAAAGCAAAACATGAAAATATTTGCTTTTGAAAATTAACTTATTGTAAAGTATAAAGTTTTGCCAAAATAAGGAAGACCTTTATATTGATACAGATTATTACATAGCTAAGTTCCCTGGTTGCCATCTAGATGCAGCTGCTTTGGCAGCACAGAGCAAGTCCTCCGAGGATATCATCAAGTCCTCCAAGTTCCCAGCAGCTCATGCACCAGCACCCAACGAGATACCAAAGATTGAGACGGACCACTGGCCAGGTCCTCCCTCTCTTGCGGCCATAGGTATGCAAAAAAAAAAAAAAAAGATACAAGCGATGCAGCTTAAAAGGTACTGGTAACCAAAGTAGGTTAACACTGGAGCTGTAAAAATAAGTAGTGAAGATTGTGTCCACTTCAGGTGTTCACCACAAAGTGCAGTTCTTCTGGTGAGACCTCCGAGTGTCTGTGAATTTAAAACTATTGAATAGCGCTAAGTAGAAGAGGTTTTGCTAAAGGACTTTGGAATTGATCACACAGATATTAACCGATAGACAAATTATGTGAACTCCTGTGCAGTAGCTTAAAAAATGTGGTGTGTCACACAAGCCTGACTTCTTTCAGTTATTGTCCATTTAATCTTTTAGTCCTAAGCTAATAGCAAATATTCCACAGAAAATATGATTGCTTCCAACCACATGACTGTTTTCATGGCAAGAAGCAATGACTGAAGTGGAACAGTTAACGGACTAAAAAAGTCCTGATTTTCAGAGTTACTGTTTCTACAGACTTTGTATTTTTCTTCTGTGTCGTTGCACTACAGGTATCTCATTTTCTTTTCTTTAAATCATGTGCATGATCATTTTTAATTTTTTTTTTGGTATTTTTTTTTCTCTGTTAATTTTTATTGTCCTCCATAGCATAAAATAAGCTATCTAGCCTGGTTCATTTATGATATCACGTCTGAAACACTGAAGGTCTTGCCTGTTTCAGGTTTCTCTGAAGGAGTGTATGGTTTTCAGTGCAACGGGATTTTCATAGAAGTGCTGGGAGAGGAAACACAGGGTGGGAGAGCTCAATGACCAATTGAAGGGGCTGCATATGGAGCAGCAATATTTTGAAAATGTTCTTTATATAGGATTGCAACCTGACAAACATTACAGTCACAGTGATAACATCAACATACTTGAAACTCTCCTGACAATGCTTGTGATAACTACAGCATTATTATGCTGTATGTCTGAGGTGGAGCCTTTGTTGGAAGTCATGGCTCTCAGCTCAGTCTCTAGGCAGTGGATGACAACTTTTAATGGTTTCCAGTAAAACTGCTTTGTATATTGGCTATCAGGTGATTTTGTTACACCTTAGAAACTAAACAGGACTGTTTGGAAACTATAAAGATAAAAATGTCCTCATGGACATATTTTATTCAGAAATAAAAAGGCATCATACAAGATTAATCGCTAAAAAACAAACCCACAAGCCCCAGGTTTTTTGGCTTGTCTGATTTTCTGAGTGTGATATTTTGCTTACAGAGCTAGAATGAGCTCAGCTGTCAAAAAAATGAGCATTACTGCTATTGTACTGAAAAGTCGTGCAAAAGCCTGAGACACCAAACAAAATAATAAATATTTTAAATACAAATAATTTCTCCATAACTTTTTGTCTCTCTCCATATTGGCGTCAATTTAACACTGCTGTACAAAACATTTAATTGATATAAACCTTCTGATACTTTAGTTGCAAAATTTAGTCTTCATTCAAATAAAACACCCGAGTTTGTCTATCATAAGACTGGTGAATAACTATATCATGATATAGCCTGTGCAGAAAAAAATACAACTGCTGTCAAAACACTTGCAGCAATATTATGATCTATGTATTCATGGAAGTGTCCTGATGTCCAAACTGGACCATCTCTTAAGACTATTCAAGAAAATAAAGATTATTCAATGAAAAGTAAGAAACTAATGTAGAACACAAATTAGTTTGCTTAATTTTAGACTAAAAATAATGCCTTTTTTTTTTCCAAATATGAGTGTCCGTTTAGGAGATTAACGTAGTTTAATTTTCCATTTGAAGTGTTAATTCAGATTCGCTTTTCTGAGTCTAGATAAAAGTATAAATGTAAATCAGATTTTCTGTTTTCAACCACGGCTACAGTTACTGGTGCCATTAAACCCAATGTTTCCAGAACTGGCAAACTGAGCTCCTTTTTTCTATTACATTGATTCATGGCTTTTGTATCCAGGACTGTTGCTTGGTTGGGAACCCACGTGCAGTTTAACTTCTTGTTAATTTTATAAGAAGCCTGATAGCCATAGGGCAGGCTATCTGAGTGAGTTTTATTAAGGGTGATTTTTGAAAAAGTCTTTTGAGTCTGCAAGAAAATACTGCTTTGTTTATTCAGTAAATCAAACTGACCAGTACTTTCTAGCATTGAAATCTTCAAGCTGCGGTTGAACTGATACACAAAGCTCTCTCTGTACTGTGGTTTTATGGAAGCAGGAGCTGACATGAGACGCAGATCAAGTGGAAGAGAGGAAGACGATGAGGAGCTACAGAGACGCCGGCAACTGCAGGAGGAGCAGCTCATGAAGGTGGTTATAAGCTTGTCTTCATGCTGTTTCTGAACACCATCCAAAAAGTGCCCCTTTGTTTTCTGTAAGCAATTTCTACTAATGCCATGATCAGCTTTATTTTATTGATACATTTTTTTAATTGCCATTTGTAGCTCAACTCTGGTCTGGGACAATTGATACTGAAAGAAGAGATGGAAAAGGAGAGTCGCGATAGGTCAGCCCTTTCTGCCAGTCGTTACGATTCTCCAGGTAATTCATGTAGGCAATAAAACTAATAATGAACAGTGAATAATGAACACCACATAGACACATATCAAGCAGTCTCCCAGAAGAGAGACCACTGGGAAGACCGCTTGATATGTGTATATGTGATGTTCTCCCCTGAAAGAGTGGCCTAATTCATTAGCTGGTTTTGGTGAGGGGAAGAGTGTCGTGGTTGTGTTTTAATTAGAAGAAATATGAGGTTGAGGATTTTCAGGCAATTTTGAGGAGAGAGATTTTCTAATATAGATAAGGAGTGAGATAAAATACTCAGTGACTATTACATCACACATATGCTAATAAGCTGGGTTATTAAATTACAATAACACATTTTGCTTAAGCTGGTGGTTCTTATCACTGTTTAGTCTGTCCTCCCAGGGACAGAAAATCAGCAACGTTTACCAGTGGGGCTGTGTATTCCAAACCATACCTTGATTGGGGGTAATCTGTTCCAGAGCAAAAGCACAAAAGTCAACTTTGTTTAATTGGTGGCTTAGATTCTTGGCCTCATTGCACATTTTGATATACATCTGTGGCCTTCTCAGATCTCCAGAGAAGGGTTTGGGGGTTTTATTTCACTCTCTTCATCCACCGGTCATTGTAGCACAGCAGCTGTACTTTGAACCAAGAAGGGACAAGATGAGTCTCTTTGGAGTCATCCACTGGAGTAGCTGCCAAGCAAACTAAGATTTCCTCATGTTCCCTGTTGTAGAAGTGTGTTGCCTCTATTTATGGTCTTGGAGAGAATGTCTGTGGCTCTCCCTCACTACCTGTAATGTTTACAGGGCCAGAGTCTACCTGCTCAACTCAAAGCTTATGATTTTTTTATTAACCTTAGCACAGGTTGGAGGACTCCTTTATTGGCGATGTGTCCATCCCTATTTGCAGCGGTCATCAGTGCAGTCATCAGTTGCCTTTTGTGGAATCAGTGGTACCTTTTCCAAAGCTGCTTGTTGCTGGCAACAGCAGTGCCTCAAGTTCTACATTCCCTGCCCTTCTGTGGTAAAAATAACATTTAAAAAACAAAAAATTGCATTCTTATATGGAGGATCTTGTCTGAAGGGGCTATATAAATTGTAGAGGTGCTATTGATCATTATGCTGACAATCTTTCTATTTATCCGTCTTTTTATCTATATTCAAAAACACACCCTTGACATTTCCACGTTGTCTTTATCTTGCTCATGCAATTGCTGAGGTCAGTGCAAATGCTAAGTTGAATGCCCCCAGATACCTTATTTCACTTTCATTTCAGATGAAAGCAGGAGTCACAGAAGTCTGTTGAATCATGTCATGTTCTCAGAAGTGTCACATCATTTACAGGATAACTATAATTTTGGATCAGAATGCCAAATTCTCAAACTTGTTTGAATTCATTCAGCATTGCCCATTCTGCATATTCTCCTGGTGAAGTCAGTACCAAAACATCTGTCAATTACAGTGTTACAGGACCAAAACTAATAGCCTTTTCTCCTTTGTAGCAAAAAATGGCAAGCTGAAGCATGTGAACACAGAGAGAATGGAGTGTGCTAGTCATACGTATCTTGGCTTATGCAGCAGCAGAAGCTGGGAGCATGAGTGCAATAATAATTGCAGTAGGAAGGATAGAAAGGAAATTCATGAAAGGTTCAGAGGGCATAATGATATATAAACCACGTGTGCCACTTAGGAGAGTGGAATTGAATGGACCTGCATGGGAGACTTAACAGGGAACCTATCCAGTCAAACACTGCTGATCTTGGATTCTCCTTGTCCTTTATCTTGGTCCCATCATAAGGTGCACAGCAATACTTTAGCTAAGGACTAAAAAGTTATTTTGCTCTGTTGTCTAATCCTTGAACATTACTTTCAACTCAGTAGAGACCACTTTGATTTTGAGCCTGGCAAAATCACAGCGTCCCTTCTTGATGACCTGCCACCATGGCATGATAAAGCTGCGTGTAACTTACAGAATGTATGGAAGGTTGTGATGAGTCTGGGGCTGAGATGTTAGTTTCTTAAAGTCAGCATGTCTCAGTTGGTTATGTATATGCCTAGCTCTTTTAACTGTGTTTTTTATGCTGGTTGATTCCTCAAATGTTCTTGTTTTTGAGTTTCCACGGGATTTTTCCAGTAAAAGATTTTTCTCTTCCTCATTCAACAGCACATGCTTCAGCTTCCAAAACCTCTTCTCTCCCCGGCTATGGAAAAAATGGACTTCACAGGGTAAGGAGATGGCCATTTTGAGAAGTGAAAGGTGGCTTTAAGTATCCATGGTATTTATTTCCGTATTAACTGTATTGGATTTTCAGTTTGATCAAGCTTTCTTATAAGACCATCTGAAGTCAGACAAAACCTAATTTCCCTTCCCACAAACTACATGCTTAAAAAGGCAAGAAAGCAACGCTAGAAACGTTGTGAAAATTGAGGGGGGAAAAAAAGGCTTAAAGCAATTTGTTACTTCCCATATACCAACCTGCTTGTGAAGTCACAAACTGTGAATTTATGTGCATGTCCCTCTTTTCCTATTACAGCCGGTGTCTACAGATTTTGGTCAGTACAACAGTTATGGGGATGTGAGTGGTGGTGTTAGAGGTAAGGCTGAGGAGCCTTTTTACATGCCACTTCATTGCTGAACATGTTATGATGTTTGATCACTTCTGCTGTTTTATTTTAAGGTTGTGGATGTGGTTAACTTTGTATTTGCTCAGTACATTTTAACTTCCTCTGGTAAACTCAACAATTAACTCAAACTCTGCAAATATCTATTAAAAAGTTTGGATTTATTTTGCTAAATCTGCTATGTGGAGCTGGTCCTTGTTTATGCCAAGGGACTGCTTTAGCATTGGTGCAAATGGAAAGCAGGTAACGTGTATATTATCAGGAATATGTACTGAGTTCTGTTATGGTGTTTTCTTTCTCTGAAAATTACCATCCACTGCACAGTCTGAAAGAATGTGCCACAGTGAAGAAAGGAGGATAATGCCTTCTAATCCCTGTAGCTGTTCATGATTTTCATTATGACTTTGAGCTAGATGTGGTATCAGTCACTGCCTAATAACAATTGACGATATTTATGAAAGTTATGAAACTTTGAGAGTTAATGTTTTGCAATGGCTTGAGCTGAGAGAGAGAGAGAGGGTAGTTATCTCCAAAGTGAGATTGATCCCGACTACCTTAGATACCCTACAATCAGGCATCTTCTGTTGGTGCTTGTGTCTCTATAGACTATGGAGGAATCTAGACAGCTACCTGATGGCAGAGGTTAGGTGAGGTGAATCCTGCTCTACACATTTGAATTTTAGTTGGCTATTTATTCACTTGATCGTGGTTTTGTGTCTCTTAATATTTCCAAAGTGACTTGATTTTCCTGAATGAGAAGCCTGCTCAAAATGAAAAGGGCTGCAGTGTTTGGAGTGTTTGACTCTTTACAAACTAAGTCCAAAAGTAGGAAGGTTGCTGGCCTTAGAGAATCAGATGGGATTTTGAAAAGATCAGGTAGACCAGAAGACACAAGGATTATCTGGTAGATTGTGACTGATTCCTGTTCTTCCACACTCTAAAGCTGATGAGATTTCTCTCTTGCTTTTCACAGATTTCCAGGTAGAGTACGGGTTTTCATCAATCAACTGACAACAGAACTAAAAGCATCTACTTTCTTGTTGAAGTTTGAAGTTCTGCTACAGGGAAGGGTTTCTTAAGACAATAGCTTTGATTTTTCTGCATGCTTAAGCATAATCACCAATGTAGACTCTTACCAACAAAAAACAGGCACAGCCTCAGATTCCTCCTTGTTACCTCCCCAGAGCTGGGTTGAGACAGCTCACACCAGTTCTGTGACTTGCTCTGTAAAATCCACTGTCAGTTGATACAAGAGTTATCTGTAATAGTCCTCCCTGGACAGCTAACGGTGGGTTTATTTCCAGCCTCTCTCTGACCCCAGAGACATATAGAAAGTCTCTTCTGGAGGCAATTTTCTCCCATACTAGGAGCCTTGAACTCCTCATTTTTACCCTGGAATTTGCTCTCCAGACAAGATGGTTGATCAATAGTTTTCTACACTACTGCCATCACAGATGAGCCAGTAAGAGGTGTGCTTGCAAATATAAACCCTTTTACTCTAAATCCTGTCTGCAAGGTTTTTTCCAGAATGGTTTGAGTCTGGTTGGCTCCTCAGCACAATCACAATATGAAATGGCAATTTAAGAAAGGGTTTAATTACTTGGATATTTTTATTAATGTTGTATCAAAGTCATGATGATTGGAAAGAGGATAAGATTATGGGAGGAGAGAGGAGTTGGCCATGTATTGTGCTCAAAACGTTATTTCGTTAGGAACAGTACCTGTGTCAAAACAACACCTTTTTACCCTATCCCTGTTTGTGTTCGTAGTAAAAATTTCCCATTGTGGAGACAAAAAAAAACCCTCAGCTGATACAGTGAATGACAGGAAGGACAGCCCAGAGGTGTAAGAGTGCTTTGTATGCTGTTGGGTGGGATCTGAATTAATGCTTCTGCATATTTGTCCAGAGAAGAACCCTACTTAGTCACTGGGGTGGGAAAGGGCCCACCACTCTCTTGGGGTCCCTGGATCCACCTGGGAAATGATGTTGGTAGGCTCAGTGGGGAGCTATTGCCAGCCTTAGCAGTGACAGAAGGCTGTGGTGGCAGAGAGGGTCGAAGGATCCCTCTGCATGCCTCAGAGAAGTGGTAAACAGTAGCCATGGCAATGATCTATATGATAAGACTAAGTATTAAGACTTGAAGGAAGTCTCAGGGCAAATTCACCTTTGTTTTCACCACTACTTGAGTGCCTTTACCCTCTGTGTGTGTAACCTATGTGTCTGATGTATACCTGTATCTGATGCAGTCCCTTCCGGATGGTCATGTCCCTGGAATGAGAATGGACAGAGGAGTATCTATGCCTAACATGTTGGAGCCAAAGGCAAGTGCAGATGTTATTCACTTTCCTTCAAGACAGTGAAGATTTGACTGTGAAACGCAGATAAAATATGGGAAATGTCTTAGTTCCCTTGTTTTTCTTTACCTCACCTCAGTCCCTGCTCCTTATGTGCCAAACCTCTCCCTTTGTTCTGGACTTTGCCTGTTACAGGTGTTAGTACTCAGGCAGGCTGAGGGCAGCCCAGGTGTGCTTCTTGGGTTAAGGAGGCTTTTCCAGAAACAGAACAAAGATACTGAAGATGCTAAAGAGCTAGTTCTCTGTCAAGCTTTCACTAGCCAAAACAGCAGACCAAACCCAATGGGAAAGTCTCAGATCTGTCAGGCTGGAAAAGTGACGCAGAATATTGTGGCTCACAACACACTGTTGAGGCTGTCTTAATTTAAAAATTAATGAAATACATGGATCTTTGTTTCAAATTGGAGGTTAGATACCTACATGTCTGTCTGGATCTGTTCTTTAGCTCTCAGCACTGTTAGCCTGACACCTTTCAATAATGTTGAATTCCCTATATAAGAAATTCTTCAGGAGATTTATTGGAAAAAGAGGCAATGTCAGCTGAATATAATTTAAGATATAAATTAAAACACTTTTACAGCTATGTCTAGAGATGTCTGAGTCAAAAATGTACATAATATAGAGGGGATTCAACCAGCGCTGTGTTTTAGATCTTATAACTTTCTCTATTGCTGGTGAACCTTCAGAGAAATCATGATTTTGCTGAAGTTACAAGGATCAGCATTTCTGCAGTTAAGGAGCTCGTTTTGCAAACCAGATTACTACTTGTGCTTCCAAGTCACCTCCAGACAAACTGTACAAGGCAATAACCCTAGCTTTATAAGCTGAGACCCCAGTGCAATGTATATTAACAAGTGTTTTTATATATTATATAAATAAGACCTTGGAAACATCCCCAGCTCCTGAGATACTACTTTTTAGTCCAAATAATTTCTCTTTCAGTGCAATAGGAATTCTTACAGCCACCACTGCTGTTGATGCACTCAGTGATTTGGAATGTTATTTTGGGTGACAAATTCTGTCAGTATTATTAGTGATAAAATTTATGGGAATTTTCATGAGTTAATAGGTAACTTTCTGTTGATGTTTATAAAGGTGATGCCAGACCCTCAGCTTGTGTGAATGGCAGTATTTATAGGAATTCTTACAGCCACCACTGCTGTTGATGCACTCAGTGATTTGGAATGTTATTTTGGGTGACAAATTCTGTCAGTATTATTAGTGATAAAATTTATGGGAATTTTCATGAGTTAATAGGTCACTTTCTGTTGATGTTTATAAAGGTGATGCCAGACCCTCAGCTTGTGTGAATTGGCAGTATTTTTATTCATGTCAATGGTCCAACACTAACTTAAACCTGATAAAGTAAAAGAAGCCAACTCAAAGTCAGCATGAAACACGTGAAAAGTGAAAATTAGTAAACTTAAGAATGACCAAATCTTACCATATGGTTCTCCAGAAAGGACAGAATTTGTGCATCCTGCCACCCCAGATTGAGACATGCCTTGTTGTGAATATCTAAATATAAAATGTACTTATGACCATAGACCTAGATTTAAACTCTGCCTGTTTAAATATGAAAAGTTACATTCTAGTTTCCTATAATGCTGTATATGGTAGCTGTTTCCAGTATCAAACATAAACAATGTAATTCAAAGTATAGACTTAATTGTACTATTGTGACAATGTCAGAATCTCCTAAGAATCATATCTTACAATTGGTATGTAAGCACATGTTATTTAAATTATTATTACTTACAATAAACTCAGTGGTGTGTTCATTGATGCCTGAATCTTATTTATTATATTTCTGAAAAGTTCATTGGGATAATTGTTGACAATGGAATGAACTTAATTGCCTAGTTCTGCACAGAAGTTGATTAGGTTGAATTTCTTCTGATGATAAAATAATTGAATTAATAGCATTTGATAATAGCTCAGCTGTCTCCCCAGGAGAGTTTTGGTGGTCTAACTCTTGTTCCCAGTGAGCAAGTAAAACAAGACCCATAAATAACAATAAAGGCTGAGCCAATCCCCACTGAAGTCTGCAGAAGAACTTAATTGACTTCAGTAGGGGTTGGATGAGGACCTCGCTGGGAATGCTGTTATCCTACTCTGCAGAGGCATACAGTGAGAAGGGCTATAGGGAGGCTCTATCAGATAGAACATGAGCTCTCCTAGGTCATTCCAGGCATTCATGGAAGTGTCTGCCCAAGGAAGAAAATCCTAAACCAGAGTTTTATTTTCCAGGGGTGATTCCAGAAACTGATTTTAAGGCACGTGGTTTTCTAAAATCCTTTCTAAGCAGCATTGTTGCTGTTGGATTAAACTGATTTGAGACCCACTGACAGTAAACATTTTACTTCAAACAAAGAACCTGTAAAACAAAAGTAAAATCATTTATGCATTTAGGAATTGGTTATTGGCCAATAACTGATTTGTATAAGTCCTGGACATTCTTTGCAATGTAAAGGGAAAGCAAGGGAAATGTTAATGGGACATGTGCTGGAAACATACTCTTCTGAAGTAGATGACAGTGTGTAAGACAAGTATGTCTACAAAAGCATCTCCTTTAATCCATGTATGTATTGCACAACCAGCAAGCATAGTGGGCAGTTGTTTGAATTCTTTAGCTATCCAAAAAGGCAAAGAAAATCATGTGATGAATTTTGATGAATGCAGTGGTCCCCACTAATCAATATCTTGCTTATTCAGAGTTGCTGCTTTTTCTGATATATTTCCATGTGGTTCATTTTTAAAAGTCCACTAAGTGTCTGTTTCCTTAAGAGCTGTCCACACTTTGGCAACCATCAGTTAGACCAATGAGTGCCAAATATATTTACCTTAATAAACTCTTAAGTTTATACATTGCTGGATGAGAAGGTATATTGACTAGAGAGGACTGTCTGACCAAAGTCAGCTGTATTATATGCACCATAAAAATCAGGGAGGTGGGCAAGTACACAGTGGCTCTACAATATGAGGCAGTTTGATACTAAACAAGTTCTCGTTATGTCCAGATTGGCTTGCCTTTCGTGCAACTTTGGGGGACAAAAGTGCTGTGATTTCCTTTGGAAAAGAAACCAAATGTTTGTGTGGTTATGAAAATGAGACACATTGTGTTCTTTTTGCTTTAGAATATAAATACATCTCTCTCTTCCCCTTTTATACATTGTTAACAGATTTTTCCATATGAAATGCTCATGGTGACCAACAGAGGGCGAAATAAAATACTAAAAGATGTAGACAGAACCAGGCTTGAGGTAAGAGAAGCAAGTTCCTAAATGCTCTTTCCTGCTGAAGTTGTTTGTTGTTGAACACTTGAAAGCTCAAACACTGAAGTGTGGGTCCTTGTTAGACTTGGAAGATTTCTCAGCACTAAGCAGGGAAAGAGGAGTCAGACAGGGGAAGGAAGCAGCCACATCTCCATGAACAGTGCTGGGCCAGGAGTCCCACATCTCTGTCTCCCTGCTCCTGGACTGAGCTTCTCACAACCCCCTTATGTTTTCAAGCAATTAATTATATACTTGTAAATTGGTAAAAAGCCCAAAAGTGGCAAAGTGTTTTGTAGTCATAGGATCCGTATTGGAATGGAGCAATACTTTAATCTTGGATCATTTCTTAGCTGAGAGTCAGTGTCAGCCATCCTTGAGGATCAAAGGTCTAACTTTCTTTAACTCATCCATGAGTCCTGTGAGTTAGACTGGCTGATATCCAAAAATATGAGGATTTAAATCTCTGCCAACAAATAAAAATTGTTTATAGCTTTGTGGATTAGAAAGACTTAAGCAGCCCAGTGGAAGGCTGGGGATGTTTGAGTCATTTGTAGTTAGTTAATCTTCTGTGGAGGTGAATGGAAGGGGCCACAAAAATTTGGGTAAGTAACCATTTATCCACATTTTTAGACTAGTAGATACGTGATCACTAATCAGAATTCAACGCTGTGTTACATTAGTGCCACAGGGAGACACTTTCCCTGTCCAGTGCACACTAAAGCAGCTGAACAAGAAGTAACTTGTGCACAAGACAGAACCAAAAAATGTTTCATTGGCAGTAGAGAAATGTGCTGGACAGTAGGTCTGGCCAGATATCTTCCTTCTGAGAACTTCAAATGTAGCATGTCAACCTGCAGCCCTTCTGCAAAGGTCTCCTGTGTCTGTTTGAACTTCCATATACACAGAGGTGACTAGCTAAAGCCTGGGACAGGGGCATGCAGGAGCTGGTTTTGTTCTCTGGTCTATCACTGCTTGTTGGGTGGCTTCAGACAAATCTTCTTTCTGTCTGTTGCTTATTTCAGCAACTGAAATAGTTCTTCTGATTTCCTTTGTAAACTTTCAGACTTAACAAATTGCAAAATGTTCTTGATTCATTGAGCACCCGAGTTCGTGAGGACTTGGATATGTGTATTGCCAAAGCATTATTACTTCCTGCAACAGCTCTTACGCAGTAACATGAAATCCCTAAGGCACTCCTGTCTCCTGTTGTGTCTCTTTGGCTTTGACTGACCATTGCCTTTTCTCTTTTTTTTCCTCCTTTTTTTTTTTTTTTTTTTTTTTTTTAAAGCGTCACTTAGCACCTGAAGTTTTTCAAGAAATATTTGGCATGACGATACAGGAGTTTGACAAGTTACCTCTCTGGAGACGCAACGACATGAAGAAAAAAGCAAAACTCTTTTAATCTCCCTTTAAACAAACCAACAAAAAATGATGCATAGGATATTGTATCACACAGTCCAAACTATTTGGAAGCAACTACTTATCCACCAAAAAGGGAAAATCGCATAGTGGCACCTCTGTACACAGCAATTGAACAAGATGAACATTTGCCCTCCTGGAACACAGGGAGAAAATATCTGGGCTCAGAAACAACAATGATAGTTTTCAGAGGTGTTGCCCTGTTACATGATATACAAGATAGGAAACTGTTCTGTTCTTCTCCCTCAATGATATTCCCTTTACTTCACTCCACAATATGATGGACTTTATTGCTAGAGCCAGGAAGTGCCCTTAGGATGCCTTGTAGACAAGTAGTTGTAACCACTCCAAGAACTGGAAAAGAATATATATATATATAAAAAATATATATATATGTATGCGTGTTTGCGTGTGTGCGCACATGTATTTATATCTACCCATCTATCTATGTGTGTGCATGTGCGTATGTGTATATATGTGTATATATATGGAGAGGAAGACAGATGCTCTGTAGTGAAGGAGAAGCCCTTTGTAACATATCCACATGGTCACATTAAGTCTTTCACACAACTGTTTCTAAATTGGCCCTCTTTTGAAATGCCATCTTCTTCATGTGATACAATCTGCAGAGGTGGGCACTCTGCTCGCTTACAGGACATACCAGTTAAATTTCTGGAAAATGGACTCGTTGTATATATTTGCTAGGATATAGGAAGTGAATTGCTGTGTCTGTTGTCAGTCTTCCCTCTTCCACACTTTCTGCTTGAATTAATAAGGCTGGAGCTTAACCAGTCATCTGAATAATTTAAGATCACTTAAGTAATGGGAATGATGGAGAAGAGTCAGTTTTCTTGTAATTTAGTCCAGGAGATGGGTAGATGGGGGTGGGAGTGACAGAGTGAGAAAATGCTTTTTTAAGTGTGCCCTGGTTCATACCCAGAGATTTTGGGACAGACTCCCTGCTAGTAATTACTAGTACAGCTCATCAGACTGCAGTGGAGTTGTAGGATTTTACATCAGCAGGGAATGTGGTTCTCTGCAAGCTAACATGCAAATTCCTCCCTTTTAGGGAGGAATGTTTATGAATTAAAAGGTACCATCAAGGTGCCATGCTCTGCCAATAGAGGCTTTTGGATTAAATTGCAGTTGCTGTTGTCAATATGGCACAGTGCATGGGGCCAAGCACTCTTTTTAGTTAATGTAGTTTTTCACTTGTGCTTGGAAAAGAGGGCACAGACTTTTTTTTTTCCCTCTCTTGAAGCATCAAAGCTCTAGCCTTGGTTATTTTTATTTCCCTTTGTGCCTGACTTGGTTTTTGAAAACAGAGTAATCATGCAAGACAGTTTCTGAGCTGCATTGAACTCC